CAATAAAAAAGAAACATCACAGTTACATAAAGCAGTAATTCTAGCAGACTCAAATAATACACTATTAAATTTACATTCACAACGTATGGACACTATACAACATATAAATAGCATAGACACCATTAAGCAATCGTGGGTGCAAAAGGTACTCCATGGCAGACAATCCCTATGACCCTGGCCCAAGATTTTATTGACAAAACTGTGTCAAATAGCTGGTCAGCTCAGGGATGCTTCTTTGGGGAAATGGAAGGATTTATGATTGCCATACAGGATCAGGACATAAATTCTAAAAACTACAGAAAACACATACTCAAAGATACAACAATCACAAACGAAACATGCAGAAAATGTCACATCATGCCAGAAACTATACAACACATCACTTCTGGGTGCAAGCTCTTGGCACAGACAGATAATTTACATAGACAAAATCAAGTAGCAAATACATCAAGAGCTTGCAAAGAAACACTAATTATTCGACATCCACAAACCATACTACAAATATGTTCAACAGACAGTATTGGAAAACAACATGCACAAAATGTAATACAACAGCCATAATCACGGATAAAACAATTTACCACAACAGACCAGACACCACATTCATTGACAAACACAATAAAATCACATACATTATAGACATATCTGTTCCAAACACTCACAATGTACAAAACACATGCACTGAAAAAATTAGCAAGTATGCAGAACTCGCCCAGGAAATAAGGCATCTATGGAGGATGGATAGGGTGCTTATTGTACTTGTCGTTCTCTCCTCTAAAGGTGTCATACCACACACGCTACACAAAAGCCTGGGAACATTAAAATTGAATAGAAACACATACATCACACTATAGAAGGCCACTATATTGAATGCATGTCATATTGTTAGGAAATTCCTGAATACAGACACACACTGACACACTTATTTAATTTTTGTCTTGTTTTGGTTACTATGCCTTGACTCTGGTCTGGCATAGTACACAGCCATCAGTGTCAACTGAGTGTAACTCACAAAACTCAACATAATAATAATAATAGGTTTATGGCATTATGAAATTCCACTAAAAGTATCATATCATACGTTTTTGAGGGGAATAACATTTTGGTATGCCGTGTTGAGTCATGTCGAGTCATAGGTGTGCCATGAGTAGAAAAGGGTTGCAGAACACTGGTGCAAACGGCTAGAAACAAGCGAGAAAGGTTTTGTCTTAGTCATTTTAAATAGTTCTAGCTCCAAATGCATAGAAGTGTGAACATAATGGCTACACTTAGCTATTTTCACAACTTCCTTTTATATACTCCATTATCATATAACTCTATTTTATTAAAGAAACTAATAGTTTTAACTGCATAAGCACTGTATTAAATATTTTGGAGGCATTTTATCATCATCATCAGGTGTTAAGCTAAAACATTAAGTTAATGAACCTAAATTTTTAAAAATATCTCTCTTTATAAATGTTTTTTATTTATAATTGATTTATTATTTGTAACTATGAAGCATTGTAATGGCAATATGATTACAATAATGAAATAAAACTGAATTATAGTAGTTATTATTAAGAAAAATTAATAAAATTTACAAAATCAATCAATTACGTATGTTTCAACATTGTTATTAAATAATTTTACTTCTCTCTAAATAAGATATTCTACAGATCACAATTTTAATTTTCCTGAATAGTTTCAGCTGTAATAAATTTTTGTTTAGTATTGTATCTTAATTATTGTAACAAATTGTTTGATATTATCGCTAGGTGTATATTTAAATTACAATTAATAGTTTTTTTACTATTGTTTAAATTACTAGAGATTAATGAAGATGCTGTATTCTAAATTATAGTTCATCAGAAATTATTATTAAGTTATTCACATCTATTCATTGTTTACAACTTTTCATTCTTGATAAATATAAATAACCATTCTGATGTAATTTGCCCATAGAAGATATCGACATAATTAGAACATTTTCTACTCATCTTTAATTAATCATTTTTTTCACGTGACATTAAGTACATCCTATAATTAGTTTTTAACACACAATATAAATCCGAGCAGAAATTGAATCCATACTTGTTTGTAAACCAAAAAAACACATACTTTTCCATACTTTTGTGCCTATTAATTTATAGAAGTATTAGACATGACATTCAACTTTGAATTTATGTATTAATAATAAAACTAAATGAATTTACATTACTCAATAATAAATAAAATTTTACAATACGATATATAGAAATTTGTTTACGATAAAATTTTTTACATTTATGTTACAAAATGTTTCATAAATAAATAAAAATATGCAATCATTTAGTAAAAAATGTTGTTATTTATTAAAAATGGAAATCATTAATGAACAAACTAACATTAACATAATCAGATGTAATATTTAAAATAAAACAAGCAAAAAAAAATGTATCAATCAACTTTTGTATAAAATAAAAAAAATGAATGAATTTTAGCTGTGTTTTAATACTTATACACACTTTATTAAACACATTAATATATTAATATATGTATCATGTTTTATACAAGTAAGGAAGGATTTATGATTGCCATACAGGATCAGGACATAAATTCTAAAAACTACAGAAAACACATACTCAAAGATACAACAATCACAAACGAAACATGCAGAAAATGTCACATCATGCCAGAAACTATACAACACATCACTTCTGGGTGCAAGCTCTTGGCACAGACAGATAATTTACATAGACAAAATCAAGTAGCAAATACATCAAGAGCTTGCAAAGAAACACTAATTATTCGACATCCACAAACCATACTACAAATATGTTCAACAGACAGTATTGGAAAACAACATGCACAAAATGTAATACAACAGCCATAATCACGGATAAAACAATTTACCACAACAGACCAGACACCACATTCATTGACAAACACAATAAAATCACATACATTATAGACATATCTGTTCCAAACACTCACAATGTACAAAACACATGCACTGAAAAAATTAGCAAGTACGCAGAACTCGCCCAGGAAATAAGGCATCTATGGAGGATGGATAGGGTGCTTATTGTACTTGTCGTTCTCTCCTCTAAAGGTGTCATACCACACACGCTACACAAAAGCCTGGGAACATTAAAATTGAATAGAAACACATACATCACACTATAGAAGGCCACTATATTGAATGCATGTCATATTGTTAGGAAATTCCTGAATACAGACACACACTGACACACTTATTTAATTTTTGTCTTGTTTTGGTTACTATGCCTTGACTCTGGTCTGGCATAGTACACAGCCATCAGTGTCAACTGAGTGTAACTCACAAAACTCAACATAATAATAATAATAGGTTTATGGCATTATGAAATTCCACTAAAAGTATCATATCATACGTTTTTGAGGGGAATAACATTTTGGTATGCCGTGTTGAGTCATGTCGAGTCATAGGTGTGCCATGAGTAGAAAAGGGTTGCAGAACACTGGTGCAAACGGCTAGAAACAAGCGAGAAAGGTTTTGTCTTAGTCATTTTAAATAGTTCTAGCTCCAAATGCATAGAAGTGTGAACATAATGGCTACACTTAGCTATTTTCACAACTTCCTTTTATATACTCCATTATCATATAACTCTATTTTATTAAAGAAACTAATAGTTTTAACTGCATAAGCACTGTATTAAATATTTTGGAGGCATTTTATCATCATCATCAGGTGTTAAGCTAAAACATTAAGTTAATGAACCTAAATTTTTAAAAATATCTCTCTTTATAAATGTTTTTTATTTATAATTGATTTATTATTTGTAACTATGAAGCATTGTAATGGCAATATGATTACAATAATGAAATAAAACTGAATTATAGTAGTTATTATTAAGAAAAATTAATAAAATTTACAAAATCAATCAATTACGTATGTTTCAACATTGTTATTAAATAATTTTACTTCTCTCTAAATAAGATATTCTACAGATCACAATTTTAATTTTCCTGAATAGTTTCAGCTGTAATAAATTTTTGTTTAGTATTGTATCTTAATTATTGTAACAAATTGTTTGATATTATCGCTAGGTGTATATTTAAATTACAATTAATAGTTTTTTTACTATTGTTTAAATTACTAGAGATTAATGAAGATGCTGTATTCTAAATTATAGTTCATCAGAAATTATTATTAAGTTATTCACATCTATTCATTGTTTACAACTTTTCATTCTTGATAAATATAAATAACCATTCTGATGTAATTTGCCCATAGAAGATATCGACATAATTAGAACATTTTCTACTCATCTTTAATTAATCATTTTTTTCACGTGACATTAAGTACATCCTATAATTAGTTTTTAACACACAATATAAATCTGAGCAGAAATTGAATCCATACTTGTTTGTAAACCAAAAAAACACATACTTTTCCATACTTTTGTGCCTATTAATTTATAGAAGTATTAGACATGACATTCAACTTTGAATTTATGTATTAATAATAAAACTAAATGAATTTACATTACTCAATAATAAATAAAATTTTACAATACGATATATAGAAATTTGTTTACGATAAAATTTTTTACATTTATGTTACAAAATGTTTCATAAATAAATAAAAATATGCAATCATTTAGTAAAAAATGTTGTTATTTATTAAAAATGGAAATCATTAATGAACAAACTAACATTAACATAATCAGATGTAATATTTAAAATAAAACAAGCAAAAAAAAATGTATCAATCAACTTTTGTATAAAATAAAAAAAATGAATGAATTTTAGCTGTGTTTTAATACTTATACACACTTTATTAAACACATTAATATATTAATATATGTATCATGTTTTATACAAGTAAATGATGATATAAATATAAATATAATTTATCAAAATATATAAAATAATTATTAAAGAAATAAATGTATCTGATATAAAACATTTCAATTGTAAAGTAAAATATAGGTATTCACCTTCTGTCTGTATATTAGGTATCTATTTATATAAATTTTATAAATATTAAGACTTACAATCTGGAGCCGATTCAGGTTCCCAACAGATGCTATTTTTGGTAAGGGTGATTCTATGTCTTTTATTACGGATGTAGAAAGTATTGATGAGAAGGATATGATTGAGATCCTGCTTATCCTCCGCCATGCTTAGTCTATCTCCGATTGCTTGTCAGCTCAGCTGTTCCTGCAAATGCCGCCTGGTGGAAGGAAACGCTCCGCAGCGAAACCTGTTTTGCTTTCTTTCTTCCATTTTTTTTTTTTTTTTTTTTTTTTTTTTTTTTTTTTTTTTTTTTTTTTTTTTTTTTTTTTTTTTTTTTCTTTTTCTTTTTAATGCTTGGATGTGTCTCACTTTTCTTACTGAACTAGTTCCAGGAAAGAAAGAAAGTGAATCTCGTACGGAAATTTTTCACTTTCTTAAAAGGAAAAATCTTACCTTATTACTTGAGATTGTCCAATGACCCAGAAAGTGATTTTAGGGTTATATAAAAATTAATAGATTTTTTTCATTATTTTTCGCACACTTGAATAATTTAAATTTATTATACTGTATTAATTTCACGCAGTGTTTAAGATATTAAATAGCAAAGAGTTAAAAATAATACTTCAAATGATTGTTTTTTTTTTTAAATATTATCGTTTAATACAATCAGTTGACTGTAANAGGAAATTCCTGAATACAGACACACACTGACACACTTATTTAATTTTTGTCTTGTTTTGGTTACTATGCCTTGACTCTGGTCTGGCATAGTACACAGCCATCAGTGTCAACTGAGTGTAACTCACAAAACTCAACATAATAATAATAATAGGTTTATGGCATTATGAAATTCCACTAAAAGTATCATATCATACGTTTTTGAGGGGAATAACATTTTGGTATGCCGTGTTGAGTCATGTCGAGTCATAGGTGTGCCATGAGTAGAAAAGGGTTGCAGAACACTGGTGCAAACGGCTAGAAACAAGCGAGAAAGGTTTTGTCTTAGTCATTTTAAATAGTTCTAGCTCCAAATGCATAGAAGTGTGAACATAATGGCTACACTTAGCTATTTTCACAACTTCCTTTTATATACTCCATTATCATATAACTCTATTTTATTAAAGAAACTAATAGTTTTAACTGCATAAGCACTGTATTAAATATTTTGGAGGCATTTTATCATCATCATCAGGTGTTAAGCTAAAACATTAAGTTAATGAACCTAAATTTTTAAAAATATCTCTCTTTATAAATGTTTTTTATTTATAATTGATTTATTATTTGTAACTATGAAGCATTGTAATGGCAATATGATTACAATAATGAAATAAAACTGAATTATAGTAGTTATTATTAAGAAAAATTAATAAAATTTACAAAATCAATCAATTACGTATGTTTCAACATTGTTATTAAATAATTTTACTTCTCTCTAAATAAGATATTCTACAGATCACAATTTTAATTTTCCTGAATAGTTTCAGCTGTAATAAATTTTTGTTTAGTATTGTATCTTAATTATTGTAACAAATTGTTTGATATTATCGCTAGGTGTATATTTAAATTACAATTAATAGTTTTTTTACTATTGTTTAAATTACTAGAGATTAATGAAGATGCTGTATTCTAAATTATAGTTCATCAGAAATTATTATTAAGTTATTCACATCTATTCATTGTTTACAACTTTTCATTCTTGATAAATATAAATAACCATTCTGATGTAATTTGCCCATAGAAGATATCGACATAATTAGAACATTTTCTACTCATCTTTAATTAATCATTTTTTTCACGTGACATTAAGTACATCCTATAATTAGTTTTTAACACACAATATAAATCCGAGCAGAAATTGAATCCATACTTGTTTGTAAACCAAAAAAACACATACTTTTCCATACTTTTGTGCCTATTAATTTATAGAAGTATTAGACATGACATTCAACTTTGAATTTATGTATTAATAATAAAACTAAATGAATTTACATTACTCAATAATAAATAAAATTTTACAATACGATATATAGAAATTTGTTTACGATAAAATTTTTTACATTTATGTTACAAAATGTTTCATAAATAAATAAAAATATGCAATCATTTAGTAAAAAATGTTGTTATTTATTAAAAATGGAAATCATTAATGAACAAACTAACATTAACATAATCAGATGTAATATTTAAAATAAAACAAGCAAAAAAAAATGTATCAATCAACTTTTGTATAAAATAAAAAAAATGAATGAATTTTAGCTGTGTTTTAATACTTATACACACTTTATTAAACACATTAATATATTAATATATGTATCATGTTTTATACAAGTAAATGATGATATAAATATAAATATAATTTATCAAAATATATAAAATAATTATTAAAGAAATAAATGTATCTGATATAAAACATTTCAATTGTAAAGTAAAATATAGGTATTCACCTTCTGTCTGTATATTAGGTATCTATTTATATAAATTTTATAAATATTAAGACTTACAATCTGGAGCCGATTCAGGTTCCCAACAGATGCTATTTTTGGTAAGGGTGATTCTATGTCTTTTATTACGGATGTAGAAAGTATTGATGAGAAGGATATGATTGAGATCCTGCTTATCCTCCGCCATGCTTAGTCTATCTCCGATTGCTTGTCAGCTCAGCTGTTCCTGCAAATGCCGCCTGGTGGAAGGAAACGCTCCGCAGCGAAACCTGTTTTGCTTTCTTTCTTCTATTTTTTTTTTTTTTTTTTTTTTTTTTTTTTTTTTTTTTTTTTTTTTTTTTTTTTTTTTTTTTTTTTTTTTTTTTTTTTTTTTTTTTTTTTTTTTTTTTTTTTTTTTTTTTTTTTTTTTTTTTTTTTTTTTTTTTTTTTTTTTTTTTTTTTTTTTTTTTTTTTTTTTTTTTTTTTTTTTTTTTTTTTTTTTTTTTTTTTTTTTTTTTTTTTTTTTTTTTTTTTTTTTTTTTTTTTTTTTTTTTTTTTTTTTTTTTTTTTTTTTTTTTTTTTTTTTTTTTTTTTTTTTTTTTTTTTTTTTTTTTTTTTTTTTTTTTTTTTTTTTTTTTTTTTTTTTTTTTTTTTTTTTTTTTTTTTTTTTTTTTTTTTTTTTTTTTTTTTTTTTTTTTTTTTTTTTTTTTTTTTTTTTTTTTTTTTTTTTTTTTTTTTTTTTTTTTTTTTTTTTTTTTTTTTTTTTTTTTTTTTTTTTTTTTTTTTTCTTTTTAATGCTTGGATGTGTCTCACTTTTCTTACTGAACTAGTTCCAGGAAAGAAAGAAAGTGAATCTCGTACGGAAATTTTTCACTTTCTTAAAAGGAAAAATCTTACCTTATTACTTGAGATTGTCCAATGACCCAGAAAGTGATTTTAGGGTTATATAAAAATTAATAGATTTTTTTCATTATTTTTCGCACACTTGAATAATTTAAATTTATTATACTGTATTAATTTCACGCAGTGTTTAAGATATTAAATAGCAAAGAGTTAAAAATAATACTTCAAATGATTGTTTTTTTTAAATATTATTGTTTAATACAATCTGTTGACTGTAAAAAATTCGAATAAAATCAAAACAACACAAGATAGTGAGAAATAAAGGATTTTTTTAAAAAAATTTCAAAATAATAGTGCACGATATAAATCAAATATTGCTATAGATTCTAATAATTCAGAATTTAAAAGCTCGAAACTACTAAAAGTACAGGTAAAACAAGTACTAGATTACAATCAACAAACAGCTGTTTTTTCCATCGCTTCAATGCCTAATTATGAGAAGCTTGAAACCGGTGTTTTAAAAAAAAAATTAGAATTTGGTGTACTTGCCAATTTTTTAAATATTTTACGAATCAAGTACAAATGATTATTATTTATTTGGCCTAAACAGAATTATTATACATCTACCATACATGTAGAATGTCTAAATAAAAATATAATTGAATATTATAGCATAATTTTGAAATGAAATTTTTTCAGATATAAATATTTATTTTTATGAGCGACGTAAGCTATTTTAAGAGAATTTTTGCCCATTAGTTTATTATACTTTTCAATAAAGTTATGAAAAATAATTAATTTTTCGAGTTAGATAAGTGTAACTGTTTATTTTCAAAACTTTTTAAAAATCTTCCAATTTCATATTTAGATTAGCTCATTCAAATTTTAAATGTATTTAAAATATTTTTCTAGATTAATAATAAAAATTATTATTAATTAATTTAAAATAATCTTTATTTTTTTAATTTATTATGTTTAAATATTTAGTTTTATAATTCATTTTAAAAAGTGAACTGTTTAAAACATACGATCTATTTTATCTATTTAATAATGCATTTCTAATCTGAGCATATCTGAAGATTCCAATACATATTTAATTAAAGGTGTGTAATGATTATTTACTTACAGCTGATTTTCCTTATTGAAGAAATAAGTACATTAAAGGCTGTTTTCAGGGGGGTTGGAAAGTTTAACGCTCAATTTGGAAAGAATTTAAAAATTAAATAAAATTAAAATTAAAAAGTATATTGTATAGGTATCTTAATTCTTTGTATCCATTCAACTCCTTTTTAGTCTACTGCAATTTATTAACTATAGAGCCTAAGTGACTTATATTGTACAGCTAAGTTATGTTATTTTGGCATTTTTTGTATGTAATTTCTAAATAATTTATTGTTACCTTACATTCGGGATAGGCATCCGAAAGACTATTATCATAGTGTCCCTTGGCGATTCCTGGTATAAATTATGTGTATATTTTTTCTTTTTTTCTTATATATTTGTGTGTAAATAGTTATATTGCGAGCAAATAAATTATTAAGTATTGAATATATGAAAAATAATGTTTGTTTTTAAACCTCATCCTTTTAAAAATCCTGTGTATTACAGGTGTCAATTCATGTGAGAGAGAGAAGACATTTCACCCCAACATTTTGTTCATCTACTCAAAACAGGACAAAAAAACCCAACTTTTCTTACTCATTATCGTTGGCCCGTCCCCCCAATATTTATACAGATCGGCCCCAATGTTATCCATAGACCTGATTATAGCCTACTTATAGCAAGACAAATATTTATGTTTCTTTCACATGAACACGAGTTTCATGAAAAATTTTGTCCTATATTTTTTCAGATAAAAGTAATAGTAAGTAAGAAAATAATATATTTTGATATATTTAAATATTTCTATGTACAGTACAAAATAAAAACGACAAAAAACTGT